AACAGTTCTATTAACTTAAATCCCACTCTTTTTATTCTGTCTCGAGATTACGTAGCTAATTCTATATTCATAACTACCCGTGAACTATCTTTGTAAATTATTATTCTCTGATGTATCATCTTCACCTGCCATTTTATAGTTAATCCGCGCCAGTTGTTCGCGGTTATTATATTTTAAGATAAATATCAAGATTAAGATGTTATTCTCACGAATGCGCTCTCGTAATCGGTTTACCTCGTATGAAGTATAAACGTACGTTGCAAACTTCTAGGCCACCAAAAAATATACTTTATTGCTTGCAGAATAAATTCTAAACTGTGAATTCAGTTCAGAAATTTGTAGAAACAAGTAGTACTTATTATAAAACGTAATACCATTGTAGGAATCAAGTACTAAATTATTGGAAGTTTGTGAAATGCTGGAGTATCATTAGGAATTTATGATATTTTTAGTTTGCTTACTTAATTCGTTATATGTAACCTAACACGTGTTAAATGTGCTATGACGCAAACAATATAGCAAAAAATTGTTTTCATTGCCAATAACGATTGTGTAATTGTTGCATCTATAATTTATTCTTTCTGATAAATGTAAAGTATCGTTTTTCTCTTGCAAATACACTATAATTACGAACGACTGCGTATTATTTAACTTCGGACTTCAAGGAATTTATTTTCATTTGCTTCGATCAGCAACAATCGATATCACGAAATAATCATTATACATTTACTATTAATTCGCTTGACAGTATCAATTTGACAGTTTTTTAATCAATTAGACATGAAAAAAACTATCAAGAGCCAATACAATATGTAAATTGCGAAATCATTCAGTTTATAAATAAAATGGGATTTCAAATGGACTTCACTAAGAATTATTCAACCATTCCTCGGTAGAATGTTTCGAACTCGATAGAACAAACTGAACAAACTGAAAAAGATGATATACAAGAATTATTTAATTACGAACTCATCACCCTCAGGTGCAATATTGAGATGTGGAAGAACTCCTCACATCTCAAAAAAGATTGGCACGAATCTCAAATAATTCATATACATTGTCTTTTTCGGAATTTTTCTACTAAGAAGGGTCGTAATGACGACTGAAACGTTTGAGTTGAAAAATTCTTAGAAGAGCCTACTTGACACTTCATATTTTGTTTTACTTATAGATTAAGCGAGTTTCGTACTTTACATTTTGCATTGGCTGTTATTGGTCATTTTTGTTTTCAGTTGCATGTACATTTGAAAAAGCCTTGATAGTTTTTCAATTATTAAACTATATCGTTGTGCATGCAATAAGATGACGTGTGATGTATGAGAGATTAAAAGATTAATTAAAGTTTCTTCTTCATTATTATTATTTTCTTTTTGAAAGTTTGCATAGTAGTTTGTACTACTATAAATTCGATTAATTAGTTAGGTTAATTCAGTTTAATTAACTCGAACATATCTCATTCGATTATTAAAGTATCGTCAAATCGTTAAATACTTTATATACATTGAGAATAATTAATAATATATAATAAATATAAGCTGTACAAAGAATTAATATTTTATGTACGAAGTATGTATTGATATTTTGTAAAAAAGATAACCTGCTTGTCATTGAAGTTTGTAGAAAAGATACAAATGATAAGCTACGTACCCAAACTCGTAGAATAAGCACGACGCATATTTTGACTCGTTAAATTAAATTTATGAAATTAGAACCACCACCTGAACCACACGAGCCGGTAGTACAAGTATCGCCATAGCGAAATTACATTTTGATCGTGTCGGAGATAGAGCCAGTTGTAGACTTGCCGAACCCGTTAAGGTGATCGCTTGGTATTTATTCGTCAGATGATGTACTTCTCCCAGACATCTTCGTTTGATGATTTCTAGGGTTTCCCTCATCTCTATTCCAATAACATCTAAAAGAACGCAAATTTCAAGTCCGTTATTCATTGTTTCATAAGAAAAATTCGTTGAGTCTTTTCAAGAGAGTCTCTCTGTCAGACAGAAAAGTTCATAGAATACTCGAAACATGTATATATAATCACTTTCTGTTAAATAATTTTTTGTCATTTGATTTTCAAGATATTGGTTCATATATATTCTAATATTCTCTACAGTATAGTCCATGCATGTCTATTGAATGCAGAATAAACATTGCAATGAAATTTCACCGCAACAGGTTTTGTAAAAGTTAAATAACAAAACCTTACAAAATTACAGACGATATCGCAAAAAATTGTATCGCACATTTGTCTCGTTTAATTTAATCACACTAACAGAAGGTTTTATCGATGTATAAGATTACAAAATAAGTAGCTATTTGTCCCTAAGTGTGATGCTCCAGTGGAATCACGTTTCTGTTATTTCTCGGAGCATCTGTGTAATTCGGAACACTTATACTGAGTAACAAGTATGCAAGATCTTGCGGGATAAATTGCTAGTTGGTCGTCACTTAGTCACGGATGTTTATCTCGTTGAAAATCTGTATTGTTTTTTTGATACTTCTTCATGAAAATCTGTGATATAAGATTAAGCGCGATTAAAAATCGATCGCGCAATAAGAAAAGTAAAGGGGGCTGCTTTCGTATAGATGTGAAAAATAAAACTTGATTGCGGGTTGATTCTAATTAGTCACGGTCTAACAGCAACAAAGCATCTAGTCGTAATAAAATGATTTAAATATATAATATCATTCGACTGGGATAAAAGAGACATACATGTGACGCAAAATACAAAAAAGAAAGGAACGGGACAACCTTGCCACGATTGAAGGTAACGCTACGGTCGAAGGTAAGGGTTGAGTCATTAAGAATTTCCGTTTTTATTGTCCTTTATAATTCAACTTTCACAGGAAACACTATAGTGGAATATAATCTAAAAAATATTTGTCCTTATTTATAATTTTATTATATCTAAACATGTACAATTTTGTCTTTAGCGAAAATCCTCGTATAATAACGTCGAGAGGAATTTCTTCTAAAATCAAAAGGAAAATATTCTAAGCACAATATTCTGAAAGTTAGAGGAATTTTCTTTCTTATTTACAGTATACATCTTGTTCTTAATAGAAATTTCTTCTAGTAAGAGAGCATTCTGCTTCAAACAAACATATTTATCTTTATTCAAAAAGAAAAAAGTTACAACAATATTTAGTAGATTTAGTAGTTAATCGTTTATCTCATTTCCTTAGAAGAGGAATATCTTTTTCATAAGAGTTTTCGCTTAAAATATGTGATTATTAGGAATAGCATAGTGCAATTAAAGGATTGTCTTTCTAGGTTTTTTTTAGGATATTTTTTTTTGGCTTTAGAAGAATCTTCTTGAGTCCGCATATGAAAGGATTTTCGCTAAGAATAATATTTTTTGCGTGTAGATGGACTGTTTCAAGTGTTTCCACAAGTATTGCGAAAAAATAAATGCTGGTTTTTCCGATTTTACACAAGTTATTACTTACGGATCGCTATTCTGATGTAATGTAACATTTCCTCAGTCAAAGTCTCCCGATAGACATTATCAACTTACGCTTGCAAATCGACGAGACACTCCGCGATAAATGTGTAAAACCGACTACAATTTCCGACGTCGACGCGTTCGACGACGTCTGCTTGTGCACTGAGCGTAGCAGCCATCGGCGACCCTTTTTTGAAGTCGTGTTTCGAAATCTTAGGGGCGATAACAGCAATCGAGCATCGCTTTGACCATATAAGAAGCTAGATTGGTTCGTGAGCGATAAGTGACCTACTATCAACTACAAATCCGTGGGTGGAATTATTGTCCCGAGGATTACACGGTAGAGATCACGGTGGGATTTGCCATGGTGAGGGTTAAAAATGAATTTACCGCTACGTTCCTTCTACATACTTTGCTGAGTTCAATGCAACCTGTTCGACGACCCTCGGAGACGCAGTCGGGGGGATATCCACTTTGTTGCTATGCCATTCGCTACGCGTCCTGATTTTACATAAATTATATATAAAAACTGTACACGTTGATAACGTGGAGTTATATAATAATATAGGTTTAGAAATCTCGCGTGTTAATTTTCTTTCCTAATTTATTCAAGGCAACGAATTGATACGATGTGTTGGATACTAATTATAATTATATGATTAAATTTTTACTATCTATTTTAACTTAATTTGTTATTATATATACAGTCAAGATTCACATTCTGATCAAATTGCGTCGCGTGAGCAATTTTATTGAACCTTGTATACACTGAGAAAAAAATTTACTAAATTTCAAAAAACATTTGTTTGGATAGTACTGTGAAGATATTTGTTTAAATTAAGTAATTATTTTCTAAAATTAAATAAAGAAGTTTTAAATGTAAATTTGTTCCTTTAATTTTAGAAAATAATTACTTAATTTAAACAAATACCTTCGCAGTACTATTCAAACAAACGTTTTTTGAAATTTAGTAAATTTTTTTCTCAGTGTAAGTAAGTCATGAATGAGTTACATGCGCGCATTTTGCTTTAATAAATAGAAAATTTTGCATTTCCATATACACTCTTCTGTAATTATATTTCATATTATCATGAAATATAGAAAATTATCTTGACGTTTGACTTTATTGAAGCGTCATAGCACATAAAAAATGTAACGAAATTAATTTGAGAAGACTGTTTTTGTAAGTCTTGTGAGCGGTTTATCGTTCACGAGTTATCGCCCTGCAAATTTCATCTTTGTTTATTTATACGAGCGTGCGCCATGTCACGTCTTTCGTTTTGTATATGACTGATTAGCGCCTGCGTGTGTATATTAATTCTTTTATCACACCAGTCATTTCTTGTATCGACTCGTATTCAATTCACAAGAATTATCGACAGTTTCGCTCTTGTTAATCCCAATTAGTAATAAAAGTTCGAGTTGAAATCCAATCGTAAATCCCGTAACAGTCTGACACCCGAGCAAATAAACATGAAATATTATTACGATAATAAAAGTTAAAATTAAAAGTTCCCGCGGTGGTCAAGGCCTAATGAGATGTTCATCAAATTAACTTAGTATATCATTTATGTTACTTTCACACGGTTTAGGTTATATCTCAACAGGATAATTAAAAATTATATCGTGCGAAAATGTCACTACTACGTATTTTCGTACTTAAATTTTAACATTTGGCAGAATTTCGTGATTCACGAATACACAAGAGAAAATGGCTCTTGATAGTAAAATAGTGCCCGAACTGAACGAACGGAAAGCTCAATTGCTTCAAGACAAGCTAAGGCAACTCGTCAAATGTGACGAGATTGTTTCAAGTGAGATTATTAACGTTATCGGGAATGTCACAAGAGATATTGAAATGGCCGAGGACAATGTGCAGAGCAGCGACGAGTTTGACGAAGACTTTGAGAAGGAATTTCGGGATCTGAACGATATTCTTAATTTGCCGCACGATACTTACTCTCTCACTGAAATTAAGCCAGAATTACCATCCTGCGTGAAATACTACATGCGTTCCGGAATAACTCATCTAAACATGTCGAGATTCTCGCCATTGTCCAGAGGTTATCAGGTAATCGCGAGTCAACAGTGATGATCTTGAAGTATACACAATTAGACGTTGCCTCCGTAGTTTCTCATTCCTTAGTTCTAATAACAGGGTGGCGCTATAGCGATTGCAGCTTTCGCCACGACTGCGATTCAAAAGTCTCGTAATTGGAACGAAGCGATGATCGATCAGATCGTTGAGGATGGAGACACTTTTTATTGCGAATCTTACAAGAACGTGAGCACCGGTGATCGTCGAACGATAACTATACTCGACTTGAAGAGGGATCTCAGGGTTCAGAAAAACTTTAACGTGAAGGTCAGGATCGAAGACCCGGCATACGCCGGCAAGTTTCGCTCACGCGATCCAACGGAACTTCATCTGGCGAAGGCGCTGGAGTTATTCTTCGATCGATACGACGCTGGTATTTTAGCGTCACCGACGCTCAACATAGCCATTTGGAAAGACTTTAAATATTACAATATATTCGATGCTCAGGCTCGACGGGAAAATGGCGAACTTGCGGCCGACGGAGTTAACGGATCGGCCAAATTATTTCTTTTAAAGAACTTGATAGGCGTACTTTTCATAATTCTCGAAAAAAGCAACGTACAAAACGAACCTTTCGTTATTTATGCCATAAGTATTCGCGGAGTCGAACCGGTTTCATTGGCGGACGTATCTGAGGTCGAAAAGACTCTTGGGAAACCACAAAGGAGACCGAGCGGTTATAAGATTCGTCAAAAACATCGAGCCATTGTGCGAGGATCTTATCATCTGATGCATTCTGCCATACCGAAAGCGCTACGTGGAAAAGGACACCTCACTATCTCATTAGCCGCATTGATATACTCCCGATTGATCCACGCCAATAAGTGGACAACAGCTTTGCTCGATTTGATGTTTAATCAGTCTAATATCTACTTGATCGATCTGGCGAGGATCCTCGAGAGGAAGCTCGACGACACTTTCGAGCTTCGATTGGAGGATTTAATGAGCGACGTTGTTCTCGGAGTATATTCCGCCAAGGTGAAAATACACGCTAGTGTAGTACCGGATCCTGCGCAAAAAGGAAAACTCACTCTCTACAGCGGCATACGGCAGTTTTTCGACAAGCACGAAGTCGGAATACTCGAGATCAAGAAGATCTTCTACGCGATCTGGAAGAACGGCAACGTGTACTATTTTCTCGATCCGTTCGCATGTGACAATGAGGGTTTCAGGGTCGATCATACTGACTTGGAACATATCAAAGTCGCCGCCTGTGTAACTATGAACAGCGCCATAGAACAGATGCTGGAGACTATGATAGAGAATACTGGAAGTAAGGAGAGAGATCCTTTTGTAGTGCACGGAGTTAAGGTGCTGTATGTTAAAACCGGCACAGCTTCAGGCGAATCGTTGGAGAAGGTTATTTATCGGGAGAAGGGTACGAACCGTAGACCACGGTCACCGTTACAGCCGACGCCGCTCAACACACCGCTGGACAAGGAAAAATCGGTAGACATGACCCCGCGTGCGCGACCTACGAGTAAACCCATACAAGTGTCTACTCAGTTTCCTGAGATAATGCATAACGTGGATCAGTACATGATGACGGATGATGAACCGACAACTTTTGTATTCGCGTTAGAAGAAAATAAGAAAAAAGTGGAAGTAGGTGAAGAAGAAGAGGAGGAGGAGGAGGAAGAAGAGGAAGAAGAGAAAGAAGATGTAGATAAGGAAGAAACGGAAAAAGAACATAAAGATGAAGAAAAAGGTTACGAACCAGTGAAAGCAGACGAAAAAATACAAGAGGAAACTCCAGTAAATTTTATCACAGGATACAGAATGATAAATATCCATCGTTTGATCCTTCGTGGCACAAAGAATTGTCTAAACGAGGAATTCAGTCTACAATCGCGTGGCAGACAAGGATTAATAGTAGCTTTGACTGCGTTAACATATAGAAGACTGAAGGAATCGATTCATTGGCGAAATACAGACGTAGATCAGATTATTAAAGTTAGCAATAATGCTTACGAATGGGTTATAACTTGGATTGAGCAAGGTCGACCGGAAATAAAAGAAGCTAAAGCACCGGAAGAGGAATTAGGAGAAGAGGAAGAAGAAGAAGAGGAGGAGGAGGAGGAGGAAGAGGAGGAGGAGGAGGAAGCCGTTGCTCGAAAAGTAGCGGCCGCTCCGAGTTACTTGAATATTTCTCTTTTGCCACCTAGATTGAAGCTAGCCGAGTATGACGTTTTATTCAAGGCGAAGACTAATATCGTCGATGGTGAAGCGAGTCCTTTGGCTAATCTAGCGGAAGCTCTCGAGCGTTACTTCGAACGGTATCCTGAAGTGGTTCTAGAGAATAAAAAGCTGATGTACGCTATTTGGCAAGAGGACGGAAAATATTTCTTGTTTAATCCTTACGGAAGCGATTCGGAGGGGTGGCGTCTGCGGGATCATCCGGCTTCTCTCGCTGTAGCGGACAGTCTCAATGAGCTGACCGATCTCCTTCACGGTGTCATAGAATATAACGATCCGAGTTTCTCACTTCATTTCGTAGCTCTGGAAGCTATAGAGCCGGGAAAGTATACATCGCCCGTGGAAATCATGATTCCAGACGAACGGGCGATTGAGAAATTTCAGACAAAGTTCCTGCCAATTACCGATGATGACTTGGTCAAGCTTGAGAAAGCTGAGGCTGAAATAATGGAAACAACAGTGGAAGTTAAAGAAGATGTAGAGGAGGAGGAAGAGGAAGAGGAAGAAGAAGAGGAAGAAGAGGAGGAAGAAGAAGAGGAAGAAGAAGAAGAGGAGGAAGAAGAAAAAGAAGAACCGAAGAAACTTCTCGTGGATCCTTTGCTGGAGATCGAAGAACGTGCGCAACCGGATGCACCGGACTGCTTAAACTTAGCCCTCTTAACCTCCACGGTGAGAATTCAGGAGCCAGTCGAGGAAAAATCGAGCGACTTGCACGAAGAAGTAATAATGGAGAAATTAAAGTACGATCATCCACCGCCGTATGTAATGCCGTCGAAGAAGGCACTTTGCATTTTGCTGGAAGCAAAACGAGCAAACAAGTCGATCCCATCTCTGGTATCAAGATTCTCGATCGATTCCAGGCTGCAAGTCAAGAAAAAAGATGACTTTTCTCCAGACTACTTGATATCAGCCGCGATTGTGTCGTTGCCGCAAGACACGAAACCCTCTAAAATGATCAAGTTATTTTCTACCAAGTATTTATACTCGAGGTTGTCGCCGATTCGTATGATGCCTCTTCGAGCCATCGACGAGAGTTACATTCACAGCGAAGACATCGATAAACGATTTGACGAAGAACATCAAGTTCCACAAAAAGTTTCAGAAAGAACTGAACGTAAAGTGTTGGCGAAATTACCAGTGATACCTTACACCGAAAAACCGGTCTCTGCGTTAATACCATTCGGAACTTCGATCAGGACACCTGTTCCACCGTTGAAATACTTGACATGTCTCGATGAGCGAAAGCAGAAGAGGATGTCGAGTGCTGAAAGAGAATCAGCCGTCGGCAAGAAGAGCTTCTGTGACGCAGAAAAGCTTCTGTTCAAGATAATATTTCCCAATTTTGATCCCTCCTTACAAGTTAGCGCACACATACATTTTTGAATAATTATAAATCAATATTATTCGAACAGATTTGTTTATAGTACCTTTATAGAAGTACACGAAAGTTTTGAAGAAAGTTTTATTACTTTATATTTTTATATAGTTGCCGGAAGAGAGAGATGTCGAACAGATGGACGAGACAAAGAGGAAGAAAAGGATAGTTAAAATGAGAGATGAAGAGGACAAGCATTCGATATCTGAGGCTATTGGCTTTGAAGTAATTTTCTTATAGCATTAGAATACGTGTTTTTGTTATCACACATGTTATGACATGCAGATGATGAAATATTAGCTTCTAATATCTCCGTGAGCGCAATACGTAGACAATAGCTTAATGGATATCTAATTTTTTTTTGAGCACAAATATGATTTATAGCCAGACAAACGAGTTGTTTAGCATAGCGTATGCTTCATTCATAAGCGCTAATAATTATTTTATGCAAGGTTGTAAATGAAGATATGGAGATATTACGAGGCAAATCGTGTTTGACGGATCGCACGCGTGTGGAATCTTCGCGCTTCAAGCCGTGCTACTTCTCTGCTATGTTATGCATCTTAGCAAAAATCGCAATGGATGTGAATTGCTTTCGCGACGGCACTTTGGACCGGGTGATTCTCCTCACCGACAAAATAAATCGACGCGTCGGCAAACTGCGACACAAGGATTACGAGTGGTTTCGCGACGTGAGCATATTCAATGTGAATTTCAATGTTATTCTGAAGGAGACCATTTACGCCGACCCCGAAAGTTCTCCATTCGACGACCTCGATACGGTCATCGAGAAATTTCTGGATAAGAATCGTACCGGCATACTCGTGTTAGAGAATTGCGCCCATGCGTTTTGGACGGCGGACGACAGGTATTATCTCTTCGATCCTTATCCCTGCGACGAGAGGGGAAACGCGAACGAGGAGGGTTATTGCTGCCTCATGAGATTTCGCGACTTGAAGTCTATGGTCGGTAGAATTAAGCAAAGCGCTGGTCAGGCTGTAAGGAAACCATTTGATCTTTACACCGTGTGTATCACTCATCTCGAGGTGAAAGAGCGCAAACGGAAACGAGGAAGAAAAAGTCAGAGGCATCGCATAGAGAAAACGGAGGAGCCGGTTCGTGCGGTTTGTACGGAGGATAAACGGTACGCGGCGACACCATCTACTGATTCGGAATCATCTCTGATCGAGTTAGCCGAGTGGGTTACATCGGACACAGGATCGGATCCACGTGATGACATTACTATCGCCGGTTTCACGCCGGTGCGGCATCACGAAGCCTCGATATTTGAAGTGGTTGTCTTGGAGGATGACATCACGACGCCAACGCTGGCGCCTTTTAAAAAATTACTAAGAACGTCGGAGGGTGATTGCGCTAATCAGGAAACAACGATGCAAAGAAAAAGAACATACGAAAGGATATTTCGAAATCACACATCCTTCGCGATTCCTATTGATCTCTGCGTCATGGCGTGGTCCTTGATTCACGACCCTATATCTTGGTCGAAACGGACCATCGATGCTTTACTCGAAGCTAGCGCTGATTATGCTTTTGACAGCGTGTTAGCGAGCGAGGACACTTCCGTGAACAATATGACCGATGCTTTATTACCGGAACTCGAGATAGGAAACTACACGTTTCGAGCGGTATTTGCACCTCTGCATTATGGGACCTTGTACGCCGTGGAGGGATGGAATTTGGCGATGACCTTGGAGAAGATATTCGAAACGAGGATCTACACGGGTGCAATAATCGTCTGTCGCTACGCTCATGTGGGCGTCACCAGGAAAGGCAGGAACTATTTTGCATGGTGGACCGTCGTGGGCACGAAAAGTCTGAGGATAATCACGTCCAGCAACAGGGCCGAATTCCTCAAGCTGATCATTAAAGAGGTCGACGAACCCCGAGAAATAGAATTCATAGTGCGAGCGGTCACGGTATCTTACGCTTGTAAAATGGATCCGGACTGCAGTGACGTCAAGGGTCTCCACGAACCAATAGCACCGATGACGTCTTTAGCGGAGATTTATCGAATGGAGCCGGTTTTCCATGACGTCCAAGCGCTTTACAGACCAATCGATTTGATGGCGAAACCATTCTTTGTACTCGGAACGGTATCATTGAGCGATCGAGATAGCCTGGTGGAGCCGCGAGCGAAACGCTGTTACTTCGTTGCACTATTAGCCGTTATGATAAAAAGAGACATCATTCAGTCCCCCATTCCAAGTATGATCGACAGAGTCCTTGAAGTAGCGGAGAACTTATACAGAAGATTCTCTGAGCCCAAGTTTCACACAGAGCACATCCTGCGGAATGTCCCGCTAATGAACAGATTTTTTGATCTTCGAGACTGCGCTTCGCCTTTAATCACGCTGACGAGGAGTCCCGGCAAAAACGACTTTTATGTACAAGTGAGAGTCTAAGAGGAAGAATGAGACTATTTGTTGTTTCTTTTTTTATCCTTCTGTCAATTTCAAGATGACGTTTTCGCTAACTTATTCAATGCTTAAAGCCGTAGTACACAGAAAAAATTAAGTAATGAGACTTAAGCAGTAAGAAAACTGACCAATTACAATAAAAAAATCAATTTTTTAAACTGTAAAATAAATAAGGTTAACTGCGGTAAGATCAACTGCGATTAATTAATTTGTTTACTGAGTAAGTTTTATTGCTCACGTTTTTCTGTGTGCTCCCGGCCTTAAATAAAAACAAAGAGAAAGTGAAAGAAAAAACTCGATAGACCTGATGAAGCTCGCGTGTTCGTTTCTAGGTAAAGAAACACTTGAAACGTCATTTCAAGACGTACACAAGCGGTGTACTGCACTTCACTAATTGCTGCTACGGCTTCTGGTTCTCAAGAGCGACGAGATCCTATTATTACTTAGATCCTTACCCGTGCAATGCGAAAGGCAGAAGAACCTCGGCAAACGGCAATGCCAGTCTGTGCATCTTCTCCTTTTTGTGTCAGATGGTACGACATATGTGTCTCAAGCAATATGAAGGTACGACCGGATTCTTCATCCACAGACTTCACGTGGATTCCATCGACAGTCCACCGTGCGAAAAGTTCCAAGAAGACCCGATGTGGGTCTACTTAGACTACCATTGGAATTTCGCGCATTCGACTTCATCGAAATCGTCCGAAGAAACGAAAGACAACGTTAAGTCCGATTCATCGAGGAGTGAACGACGATTTTGGAATAGATACGTGATCGAAGTGACCGATCTGATTTACTCCGTCTGGGGTACGATCGGCGCGTACGATCGCAGGTTTGGCGAACGAGCTGGGAGAAATCGCGCCGGCATATGCGTCGCTATTCTCGCCATGCAACACCTTTGTCATCCGTCGCGGTGGAGCCCTGCTATTCTGGACTCGGCCGTGATCCGTGGGGATTCCTACTACACGGAGAGCTTGAGCAGCGCAGCGCGGAAGTGCTCGGGGCCCTCAAATAGATTCCGGCTGCGTACCTCCTTGAGAATGTTCCCACATTTATGGACCGTGGATTTCAGCACGAGTGTATGCGGAGTTCTATACGGCGATCGAGATAGATTGACGCTGTCTGCGACGTTGAGATTAGCTTTCGAGGAAGCTCGCAATGTGATCATCGAGTGCAACGAGATCACCTTGGCTGCGTTAGCCGCTAAAGATGCTTATTATGTCGCGGATCCATGCTGGATCGGCCCGCCATTGTTTCCGAGAGATCACGGCGCGATCTACGTTCTACGTTGCAGCAACATAAATGTGCTGATATACGCAATAACAAAAATGTTCAATACCAATTTGAGGCTCGACGTTCGCGTCACGCCGTTGACCTTGTCCTTTGATCGGGAGAACTTCGATATGGATCTTGAGTTTTGCGTCGCGAAGAGGATCCTGCGAAAAACCGCACGAAAAGCTCCGGGAAAGACCAAGGCGTCTAACATAACCATCCCCGGAGCAGTCGTGGTGCCCGATGAAAGCTCTTACCTGCGGTACGAACGGCATCTCGCTAAAGGTGTTACTATAGATCTTCAACAACGCTATACGTTACCTACCTTACGTCCTGAAAACGCGAACAACATGATCGTCAGCACCAAGTGGCACTTGAATCTTGGCCAAGCGTGTCCTTCAAAAAAAGACCCCGTGGAGCGTTTTCCCTACGCAATTGATCCATTTGAAGCGCATCAGTTGCAAATTTCCGTCGCGGATTTAATGGCTATTTGCGACGACTATCCAAAAGCGATAGACTTCGCTAGCGACGCTCTTTCACCCGGAATAATGTCGCTCGAGTGCACCGGCACAGCGAAGCGTAGTTTCATCCGAGAAGAAAGCCGCACGGAGTTTAATGAGCGCGTCGCGGAAATGTCGTCGGATTTCTACAAGAATTATCGACATCATTTGCCGAAGCAAAAAGAAGATAGAGTTAAGAAAAATTCCGAAACACAAATCGAGGTGAAATTGAACGAAATGACTATCGACGTCACGGTAGACACCGGCAAAGAGAATAAATTTCAAATGGAGACGGAAAGTGAGATTACAGATGTCCAAGACGTGCAATAAACGAAGAAACAAAGTTCACGGAAGCAAATAGCGCTCATGAGTATATATTAAATTTTTTTCTCGAGCATTCAAAGCGTAGTTTTCATGCGACGATGACACGAGCAAAGTCAAATGCATGTAATTACGATTTTATTGGAGCGATCCGAGTCAACATTGTACAAGGTGACTAAAAAACAACGTACGTAATATCGAAAAAAACTTAATGATCTGATCAAAACTTTGCTCGAAGGAAAGATCTAGAATATTTAATTAAGATGTTATCTTCTTGCTAGTATACTTGATCATACATAAATCAATACTTAATGTTTAATTACTAAAAAAAAGAATACCTAGGTAGAAGTTAACATTTATCAAACATAAATGCATATGGATGTAAAATGAATAAATAATAGTCTCTCTAATTTGTTAATGAGCGAAATTATTGAGAGTATCATTTACTCAATTTAGTTATAAATACGAAATTGAGGAGACAAACATTTATTATAAATTTTCTATTCACATTGAATTTATTGAAATTTGTAAATTTACAAACAATACGCAACACAGCTAAAATGTTAATATTTTACAATTTTAAATGGCATTAAATGCACTAATTATAGTATATTGGATTATGGCTTTACTAGGATGTTTTTTGATAAGAAATTTAATAATTTGCTTATAAAATAATTTGTATTATTGATAAATAATGCAGATAAATACAAAAATAAAAAAATATGTAAATCATTATTACGATAAATATATTTTTTAGGTTTTAGAATTGTGTGATTTAAAGATTTGATCAGAGACTGAAAGTAAAAATTTTTTGAAAATTATAATTATTAGTATCAGTATCAGTATATATACCGGCAATTATCACGATATGGTATATTTTTAATTCTATTTATTTATTAAAATAAAGGCGTACAAAAATGTAACTAAATTTATTAATATTGGACGGCAAAAAACGCTTGTGAATCGATTCGATCATAGGTTTTACACCTAAGATAATAATCGAACCAATCAAACGGAATTAATAATTCACTTACGTTTAACTTATATCGCCTTTTTGAACGATTAGATAAATGTAACACATGTTAAGCCTATAATAATCTTGCGAAAAATACAATACCACACCGATAGAAAAACGTAAGTCGCGATTGTCATATATATATAATATAAATCTTACGTGTTATATAGACGTTAGTACATATATTTGTCTCGATCTCCGCGGGACAACACAGATACAATACAATACAATATAATAAAAATAATACGACTTAAATATATAGTCTTTAAGCATTTAAAATTTACAATAATACGAAGACAACGTCTCGTTAAAAAAATCATTTGCATAATTCCATTCAATATCGCTTGTCGTAAAACATCCCTTTAACTTAATTTCTGTGTAATCCATTAAATATTCCTTAGAAACTTCACATCGCAATCTCATCGAAGTTTCATTATTAAATTCTAAAATTGGTCTTCCGAATTTTTCAGTGATTAAAACGGCGGTTCAAACGACTGTCGAGCGTATGGCTCATACAATAAAATATTACTATCACGCTTATGTATTACATAAATGGACAATAACAATATTAACAATATTATTTAAGTACATTTGACGTGATGCTTACATAAAATGTCACGATAGTCATACACGCAGTAGGCAGAAGATATTTGAAGAGGCATAAGAATGGGGAGTTTTTTAAAGAATATTTCAAGAAGTCCAGATATTAGTGTTACAAGCTTACATAAACGGTAATAATGAGAAGCTCATAATTTGCAATGCTATTATTATTGATATTATAAATATAGCAATAATAATAATCATACTAATAATCATTATACTAATAATTATTATTATATTAATAATAATTATTATAAGATTATTTCTAATAATATTAGACTATAATATTACTTGAAACATTCATATAAAAGATAAAATCGGTGGCTGTGTAAAAAGTTGTCCGATAAAATATCTGGATTGTGAAAAAAATGTTTTATCTTTTGGGATATTCTGGGATATATTCAACGAGATGCAAATTATGCGAAATAAGTAGGGTTATTTACGCATGCCTCTTCGTAACTTGTTATAAATTTATGGGAAGTAATTGCGCGCGCGCAATATCTCGAAACACATTTCACGACTGTTCGGGTTAGTCGGTGAAGGTATTTTTTCGCCTTCGATTTCAAGGATTATCGATCACGTAGGCACGGCACGTACATTGAAGGACAGATTGAAGTATCGCCCTCTTATCGTAAAATTACTTACCGTAAACAGATTATCACACACCGACACGATCGTCGGGGCTTTGATCAGCGAGATGCGCGTTCACGCTCGTTTTCGTACGAAAACACACGGACGAGTAATACATGGCAATAAAAAGATTCATCGTCAACGAAATGTGTAAGATTTGGCGTCTCGAAACGAAATATCTGTCTCTATAAAACTCATGTATAATTGTATGTTCGTCTTGTTTTCGCCTCGCTCATGCAAAAACATCATCTTTCGCGGAAGAAACTACCGTCCCTGTGACTCGATACGGACGACACGCGATCGTCTACGCTAATTACTTTTTGCGACAACGATTCGCGCAGTTATTTGTCAACCGTTTCTTCAGCTTCCGGCTTCGTGTATAAGATTTCCGCGTATTCCGTTTTATCCTCATTAAGTCGGCGAGGCGCGGCACCCTGTTGTTGTTGCGTGAGATCCAATTCCGCGTACACAATTCCACCCTCGCTCGTCGGAGGATTCGTCCTGCCTTCTTGCGCGGCCGGCTCGGCTGTTTGAAGCTGTAATTTTTTCGCATGCTTTACATATGTATGTGCCATCTCGACTAAAAGTACGAAAGCCGATGTTGCACTTGGGCGGCAATGAAGTGATCACACCGTAAGAAATTCGTTAAGAGAAGAGTTGTCGTATTGGTCTCCTAGATCATCGATCGTAACTGATTGTTTAAAATGTCTGTAACGCGCGCGAAATGAGGTATAATCTGAATTTATTGACTCTCCTTTAACTGACTAGACGGAATTTGTAAAGCAGGCTACGCTTTTTCTTTTTCATTAAACAGGGAAAATTTCTCAATGGCTCGATTGCTATGTTGTGTTTACACGAACGTCTCGATTTTTGTGTGCACAGTATAATGGTACAATGATGAAATATTTTCGATAAACCATCGCGTTTATTGAATTATTCGTTTTAGACGAGACATTCCAGATATTTAGGATTTTGTTGACCGCCAACTTGTGTGACTTTTTATAACGTACCGTACTAAACGCGTCAATGGAGTAGTTTGTCTGTGACTTATTGAATATATTGTCATTGTTGCTGTTACTCGCAAAAATTCGCAGGAAAGAAATTCGTGGAGGAAAGAAATGGTCAACGACGTTCATTATTCATTGCGAAACAGTGGCTTACCTTTTCGTCGTCGATAGTGACAACAGTCCTCATCGTGTCCGTGTCGGCACCCGATACCTTATCCTTGTTTCGTCCGAAAAGTCGAGACAAATTGATCCTTGGCCTTCGTCGTCCTCGAGATGATGTGCCATCTATCTCAGATCGGGAATACCTGCCGGCGCTCTCAGTGTCGCTTCTAATTAAATGAATCAAGTTGTATCTGATACATGTCTCATCAGTGACAAGAGTATAATAATTTCGCGAGTATCACGCGACATTTAACTTTAGATATACACAGCGCTTATAGTGTAACTCTTTCTGATAGTGATATTAAATGACAGCTTAATAAATCTTTTCTTTATTAACTGTTAGATTACCTCTGATGTTAATAAATCTCTGCACATACATTTGCGTGTGTTTTATTTTTTGTTTTAGTTTGACGAATGATCAAGGAATATCATTTGCAAAACGTTCGCATAAACATTACTTATTAGATATTCTCGATCGTAATCTGAGGAATGTTCGTTGTGGATATATGACTGTTCGATCCACGCTCAACAACATATATTGTCATGAATATATGTAGAAAAACATGATTCTTTCGCGTGTTAAACTGCAAGGAAATCGCTCGAGTCGATCCTATCTATATTTATAGAATTTTATATCCGTTTATGTTTCCTAGATCATCACGTAATGTTTATTAACTCGCACTGACTGTGCAATTAGGGAGAATATAATTTTTGTAATAATATTATTGTACACAGATTCATATTGTTGCGAGTGTTCGTGTGACTCAACACGTAACGCAAATATGAATTATGAGAAAACAATTTAGGATATCTCCTTGTGTGAATGTTACAGTCGTTTATCCAGTCATAATTAACGATATTAAGGTTAGTAAAGAGCTCTCTCTAGCAAAGAGAAAGAAAGATAGAAAGAGAAGCTTATCTATGCATTTATATAAGTCTGTTATAATCACGAATGGTACCAGCGCTTTCGAAACACTTCTCGAGGAATTGTTTCAATTGCGCCACAACAAGGAAGCGATGTGCAAGTGCTGCGATAAGCACCACCTTGCACATTCCGCATTTAAGACCTCAATTCCAAACGCATCGAACCATTACCAAATATGGTAATGTTCTTGTCGCCAGGCACCCCCTCCGACAAGTCTAAAACAATACTATAAAAAAGCGGAGAGACCACTCGCGTCAGGCTTAACATCTCGGTCTCTCGCCGCGACAT